TCAAACCGATCAAAACGATTTGGTTTGAAAATTTGTCATAATTCGTAAAAATCGGACCGCTTACACCCCTACTAAGGAGCTATTTGGACCATTAGATTTTGTGGTTACATGAATGGCCCCCCAAATTTTGCATTATGAACCACTATTTATCTGACAATGACCTGTACTTACCAAACAATGATAAGTACAATTGTTCCTATGTCATTTATTTAAATTAGAATTATGCTAAGTATATTTCATGGTTACATTCAACAAAAAGAAATTTGAAAAGTCTGACAGAAAAGTGTGTTTTTTATTTAATTAATTAATCATGTATCGAAACGTGACACAATGCAAAAAAAAAAATTACATATAATATGATTGTTTAAATTAAGAATATTATTCTTTCGAATGATGAAATAAAGACAAGTAATCAAAATAATCACGACCGATCTCCTGACATGGGTAGGAGATTAGTCCTATCAAAATAGTTGACACAAATTTTGAGGGGAAACAACGGAATTATAATACTGATCGGACATAATAATTTGAATTAAGCCCTGCGTACAGGGCTTAGCTTGTGTTTGAATCTATTTTTGAAGAGAATAGAAATTTTGGAATACTGATTGATGTGATAATGTGTGATGAAAAAGTGATGAAAAGTTTTTGATTTGTGTTTAATATTATATTATTTAGAAAATGTGTGGTTGAAATGAAGAATGAAAATGAAAATGAGAAATTAATGAGTGTCAAACGGGGGCTTAATTTCACAGTAAGGCCACTCACTGTAGCACAGGGTCCCACCCCAAAGTATTTTTTTTTTTTTAAAATGTGGCCCCCACCCCCATGTGTGACGCATGCCCCTGTAAGTATAGCACTACTCTAATAATTTAGTATAATAATTTTAAATTCGCTTCCTTTTATAATTATATTTAGTTTATGTTTGATCCACATTTTTACAAAAATTCATTTTTTTAAAACTCGTTTTCAATCACACATTTTTCAATAAAATAATATTACACGTAAATCTAAAAAAAATTCTTATTTTTTAACCATATATTTTCCATCAAATCATTATTTAAAATGCATTATCTCTCCAACAATGTGCATCAAACGGAGTTTTATTTTCACACGATTCGACTTATTAATTATGCTATCCAACTATTAACACGTCAAAATTATTCTCTTTTTTGCTTTTTAATGTATGTACAACAATAAAAGTCAATTTATTCTCTCTTTTGGTTCTAAACTTATCAAAGAATTTTTAATTTATTCTTTATTACGTAGCATACAACTTTTTTTTAGTAGACTTCTTGACAAAAGATCGCCAGGCAGCTGCATTTAAATGAAAGTCATGCAATTCAAATTCAAATTTTAGCACAAATCACGCTTTTTTTTTTTAAATAAGACTTTTACTGGTTGAAATACTTATCATTACACAATTGGAAAATTTATGAAGAAATGTCCATGTAATCAAATTCATTCTAGTAGGACGTTGAATTTTATGATGGATTGATTATTGGCGAGCCAAATAAAAACAACATGAATTATTCTAGACGCGTTGGCCCTGTCCGTCTAGCACATCATGGATGACATTCATCTCTGTCTGGTACAATCTGAGCAATGATGTGAAAAAGTGTTTGAAAAAATCAACACATGTGATTATGTCGATGTATAAGAGTGTAAATAAAGATTTAAAAAATAATGTACATATAGTATAATTGAAATTGTTTTCCCTAATCTTTGTCACGGATTCTACTATGTACGATTTTCTTGACAACGGACAAAGATGACAAGAACTCATATTTCAAAATGGCATAATTGATGTCCTTTGTTCCCACGCGAAATTGCAATCACTTTTCAGTCACCGGCTACGTGTTCCGGTGAAGAATTGAGTAGTCGCTCGAATTTCTTTATCCATATATCACGTCCAAATCCACCGCTTTTCATCTCCACCATCACCAGCTCTTCCGTTAACCGGTTAATCTCAACAACCACAATAGAATTCCCATTTTGCCCCTGCAGTCTTACGCTTAATCCCTTCTTTGCCACCACTAGTCCTTCCTCTTTCGCCACCGCCTCAATTTTCTCAATTATTCTCTCCGGTGGCTCTTTTGAGATTAACATTTCGCCGTCAATGCGATTCCCGTTGTTACTGAACAAATCGGACAGATCGAAACCGGAGGAAAATGAGATTATATCAAAGGCATTCAAAAAACCCTTCTCTTCCCCTTCGCTAAAATTCTTGAATTCAAATTCATTCTCGATTGGGAATTTAATCTCCTTGTACCCCTTTCTGAACCACGGGTCATTGATTATTTCTTGAATGGTAACACGGGTATTCGGGTTCGGGTCCAGGATCCGGGTTAAGAACCGCTTTAGCTCCGGAGATGTCCATTTGGGGCACCGGAATTCTCCTTTGTAGATTTTCTTGTACATCACCATCAAATTCGGGTCGTTGAATGGCAAGTAACCCGCATTTAATACATACAGTATGATTCCGCATGACCATATGTCGACTTTTGCGCCGTCGTATCCCTTCTTTGCGAGTATTTCCGGCGCCACGTAGGCGGGGGTTCCGCAGAGTGTGTGGAGGAGGCCGTCGGGTTGGATCTGATCCGACACGGCGGACAGTCCGAAATCCGTGATTTTGAGTTCCCAATTCTCGTCAAGTAATAGATTTTCCGGCTTCAAATCGCGGTGATAAACGCCGCGCGAGTGGCAGTAATCCACAGCGGAGATTAATTGCTGGAAATATTTGCGGCTGAGGTCCTCGCTGAATCGGCCTTTCGCAATTTTCGCAAACAATTCACCGCCCTTGGCGAATTCTAGGACGAAATAGATTTTGGTCTTGCTGGCCATGACCTCAAGGAGGCGCACTATATGGGGGTGGCGCAGCTGGCGCAATATAGAAATCTCCCTCTTAATGTGTGCCGTGAGGTTCCTTTTGAGGATCTTCTGCTTGCTCATGGCTTTAATGGCCACACTCTGGCCAGTGCGCAAGTCCCGCGCGTGGTACACCTTGGCGAAGGCGCCATAACCCAGGAGCTTCCCGAGCTCGTACTTCTTGAAGAGCTTGCAGCCTAGCTCTTCCTCTCCGCCGCCGGTTATATAAGACGGTTTATTTCCATTGTCGTCTCTGATCTCCGGCATCACTTAAACCAGAGGCCGTAAATATATCTCCTTTTTTTCGAAATTATGCCTGTCTTGCATTAAATCATCGAGCAAATTTTGCCCGATACAGAGGAATTCAAATTGTGGGCTCGAATTTAAGAGAAGGACTTTGAATTTGCTCAATCAAACACACAGCTTTATCGAGAAGAATCTGAAGTTGTATATTTTCAGAAAACAAAAAATACAAAGAAAAGCCGCCCAAATACTCAAAATCTTATCTTCTAAGAACAATAATTAACCAAAATGCAATTACTAACTGAGAAGCCAAGATTCTTCTAGTTTATAGAGATAGAAAGGGACTGTATAAAGTAGTTGGTGTTTGAGAGGAAGAAGAGAGAATGAGGTTTGGGTGGGAAAGAGGAGGGATATAAATGTTTTTCAATAAACACATTTGACGTTATGTCTTATCTTATAATAATAGAATGAAGTCAATGAACACGTTAACAATCCTGTCCAAGGTGAGCGGGGAATAATATACGACCAACCACGTGTTGAAATTATTGAATTATTGACGGGAGATAGCGATGTGAATTACCGTGTTTTAGTTGTGTTTTATTCCGAGTTTTGACTTCATAGATTATTTTATTACTTGAAACAAATCAATTTTAAGGTTGTATTTTGCTTATCCATTTGAATTCAATTTTAGGTTAATTTCTAATGGCCTATTTTAACTTTTTTAAAATAAGCTTGTGTTTGTTTCCCATTTTCGCTGCATTTTAATTCCCGTCACTCCTCTTGAAGGCCTCAACTCTGTCATGTTCCGCTTCCTAATTTATGTCTACAATTAAGTTAAATTTTAAAAAGTTATGCAACACATTATCAAAATATCTTAATATTATTTTCATTCCTAATTTTATCAAAAAATTGACTACCAAATAGGAAATTTTTTTCATGTTTATGAAGTGTTTCTTATAAATTAAAAAAAAAAAAAAAATCACTGCACAAAACGAGAAAAATATTTTTAAAGTTGTGCAAAGTAACCCCACAATCAAATGGCAAATTGTTTAAGTGAAGTGCGATCACAGTCTCCCATCTAATGTTAACGTGTTGATTTTTTTTCATTTTATATTATAATCTTCAGTTGAAAACACGTTGGCGACCAAGTGGGCTATTTGGTAACATTCTTAATTTTGTTTTAATAATATTTTTATGATAATTATATTCACAATATAATTTTATAAATACATTTTATTTTAATTTATTTAAAGTTTCTTAAAATTTAGTTATTTTCACAATTATGATCTTAACTATTTTTAATCACATGCTCATCGTCAGCATTTATTTAATTAGCATATTGTCTCTAATGACGATTTTCCAAAAGTTCTGTTGACATAATTTAAAATAAGGAGTAATATTTAAAACTTGTTTGGGAATAGTTTATAATCAACTTAAATTATATAAAGATAGAAATGAATGACGACAGATAAATGAGTAGAACTCGTGGATCATAGGAAATATATAGATAAAGAGTAAGTTTCACTATTTATGTGTTATAAATTATAGCAGTGCTACACGTACATAATATGTTTACATATACATGATGTATTGATATATGATTGAGTTATAATTTTTCAACCAAAAAATAAATAAATAAATTCCTCACTCTCTTTGTTACACTTTATTTGTATGTAAACTACCATGTAACTGCTTATGTAGACATGGGCGGACGCAGACTTTTTATGAGGGGGGCACAATCAAGCTTTCAAAAAGTGACGAAAAAAAGTCAATGAAATCAATTAATATTGTCCAATCTCCTATTGAAATAAAGATATCTAGATATAAATGCCAAACTCTACGAAGTTGTTGATATTTTTCTTCTTCTTTAGCTTCCAATTAAAATCTAGTTTTGTAACATATTGGAATTGAGTTCGAGGTGTAAAGTACATGTTTGTGTTTGTCTACGTCCTACGAATTTAGAAATTGTTGATTAGAAATTGAAAATTGATATACGAAAGATTAATTACTTAGTTACACTATTCGTTTTGAAATCTTTTACTTGCATCGAGTATCATTTAACATATTTTTTTTAAGTGAAATTGCTGCACCTGTACACTATGTAGCAGCAATTTGAAAGCAACCAATGTGACGGATAGCTAAATTTTCAGTTACTTTATTTTGAAGTGTGAAGATACACTCGGTTGTTGTATATTAAGGGCCTGTTTGATAGCCCATTATTTTCCATGGAAGTTGGAATTGAAATTCCGTTTCCTACTTTTGTCGTGTTTGATTGCACTTTTTTTCCCTGGAATTGGTTTTCCACCNTTGTTTGGGAGGGATTAAAATCAGATTAAAATTGAAAATATAGTCGTTATTGTTGACTTTTATTAGACAGGTGGGACCCAATAACGGCCATATTTTCAATTTTAATTGGATTTTAAGCCCTCCCGAACGGGGCCTTAATGTCATTGCATGAGCATCACAAGTTGGGAAAGGGTAGATTGTCGTATTAAATTTGCTAATAAATTAGTCCACTTCAAATAGTTATATGATTAGACTACTACTTAAATTCGAAATGGTACAATCTAAGGTTGGAAAACATCATATGACAAGGGAAAAAAAAACATTCACATAACGATTTTATTCAATTGTTTGTCACGTAACTTCAACGTATCTACGATGTGAAAGGTAACGGTAAATGTCGACAAAAAAACAGCTAATGCATACAAACAAATTTATAACTCTCTTTTATCATCCACAAAAACGAAAGAGAATAAAATATTGGCTGTAAAAGTTTAAAACGTGTTGACTAGTCTAAAGTACTGCGTTTCTCAGAATTATTCATAGCTATCCAAACTCCTTGTTTGAGCAATTTTTTTAGAATTAAATTTTGTAAAAAATTGGAAAGTGTACTGTTAAAAGTAGAAATTTATTTATAAATTTATTTTATTGAAAGAATGTGATTGAAAATAGATTTGAAGAAATATGAATTTTAAAAGAATAAAGCTTAGATAGGAGCATATATTCAAGAAAGAAGAGCTGAACTAATTAAAATGGCCAAAATGAAATATCTAATCAAACTGACATGAAGAAAACATTTATCACGAATATACAAAACTGCGAGGAGGTAGACAACAAATATGAAAATTAATTAGCTTATTTTATTTTTATTTCTTAGGTGACATTTTATGACTAACAAATAAACATATTACAAATTCTCGAGGAGACTCAGCTAATCTCCAGCTAAAAATACAGAAAAAAAAAAAAAACTTATCCTGTTCAAAGATTAGGAGAAAAATAAAAGCTCAAAAAAAAAACTTAGTCCCTATTTGATAAATGATAAGTATTTTTTTTAACTTATAATCTAATCAAATTTCATTTTTAACTACAAAATTTACGAGGCCAAAATATGGACTAAATTTGTTATTGTAATCTTAGTGCAAAAGTTTCCGAACTCAATTGTAGCTATAGGTTAGATGTATCCCACATTAATTGCTTGCAAATGTATTGGGTGAGAAATGGATTATTAGCACAAAACGTCCATACATTTTAAATTTATTGGGCATAATGTTCTTACCTTACCTTACCTTACATTTTTTTTTTTTTTTTTGCATTTGCACCCATATTTACACATTGCATTACAAAAATCGTCATTTTCATCCATTTTTTAATTAAAAACTATAAAATGACGAATATACATTTCTATTTAATAAAATAAAAAGAAAAAAATAAAGAACTAATTGCAATCAAAATCCCAAATTTTTCAGAAAATTACAAATGTATCAAAAATACGTAATTAAAAATAAAATAATAAACAAGTCATCGTGATTCTGTTATGATTTCTCCAATGATGCTGAAACTCCCCGTCGACAGCTGAAGAATTATATTTCAGCAATTTCTATTATTTTCCCTTGCTTTATTCACGTGCATTGCCTTTGCTTTAGTTAGTTAGTTTGGCCAAGTGTCAATTCTTCATTGGTTCATATTTGTATAAATGCCTTGGACCCTCTACGTTACAATTAATTTTTGATGAAATAAGAATTCTGAGAAAACTTGCAGCATTCTTAGCTGCACAAACTGGATCCACAAATTCAATATGGTACCAGAGCAAGGTTACCCAGATTCTGAGCTCAATCATCTAACCCGCTGTTGATCATGGCCACGAAAATTACACACGAGCGAGCTCAAGGTTTACCCGTAGAACAATGAGCTTCTAAGAAGGATTACAGCAATGGAGATCCATTGGATCTGCAAGGATCAGTACTACTAACTTCACCTTTAACAGGTAAAAATTATTCAAGTAGAAGTATATCGATTAAAATTGCACTAGGTGCAAAATTGAAATTGGGATTTATTAATGGGAAATGTGAGAAATCAGCTGAAAATTCTTCAAAGTTCGATCAATGGATTAGAGTGGTCGTATGGTTAGATCTTGGATACTGAATTCACTCTCAAAGGAAATTGTAGACGCATTCATTTACACGACTTCGGCTAGGGACTTATGGGTTGAATTGGAGGAAAGGTATGGGGAATGCAATGGTCCTTTATTATACCAATTGCAGAGAGAGATTAGTAGTTCAACCCAATGATCATTATCAGTAGAAAAGTATTTCACTCAACTCAAAAAATTATAGGACGAAATCCCGTGTTTGATGCCTATTCCAATCTGTACTTGTGGAGCTACGAAGGAAGCATCTTATTTAGCCTCATTCAACAAGCTTATGCAGTTTTTGATGGGATTAAATGACACTTATGATAATATCATAAATCAGTTGTTGGTGATGGATCCTTTACCATCAGTCAATAGAGCCTATTCCAAGGTTTTGAGAGTTGAGAAACAAAGGGAGGTACATGTTTTCCCAGAAACTACTGATAATCTAGCTATGATGGCAACATCAAATAATTACAGAGGTAATGGACATGTGAGAGAAAGAGGAAACTGGACTGGAAGGTTTAATTCCGGAAGAGGTAATACTACCTTTGGAAGAGGAAATAATAAGAGGTTTAACAATTTTGATAAGGAAATGTTGTTCTGCGATCAC